AAATGAATTTTCATTGAATTTCACACAGCCTCGCTTGCCCAAAAGATATTCACATCCAGGCATGAGTATACTGCAGTTTTGGCCTGGCCTGTTTTAGTTTCTTCAGCACCCCCAACGGGACTCGAGCTAGGACCACTTTGAAACATTGTCACGATTGCTCTTCGGTCATAGAGAAGATGGGAGTCTCAAGGAATCCCATACCTTTGCTCATATCACATTCTGTGGTGGGATTGTCGATTAAACAAAGTTGTATCTGCTATAGCAATGGAATATATTACTTATTTCTAGTTTGGAAGTAGGTTTTAGAGACCACCAAATTTAAGTCCCTTTATCAATTTAGACGAAATAGTGTGAATACAGCTCATATGTATATGATCTACCAGTACACATAAGACTTTTTATGGCGAAACATCTGGATTTCGTTTTATATTTTGCTGCTTCTTCTTTATGTTGCGGCGGATTAAAAACGTTAATCCGGAAGAGCTAAACAGACATCCACTAGAATGCAATTCCTAAATCCAACATAAAAGCCTCTAAGAAGGCGCATGAAGAGTGAAATGAAATAATTTCAATTTGCGTTCTTCCCTTGGCTCCATTTTGTTTCGAAATTAAGTTCCCAAAATTGTGTTTCTTGTTGTTTGCTTGGCTTCTTGCTGGAACAGAAGATTAAATGAAGGAGATGGCCATTCTGAAAACAAATTCCGAATAATTAGACATCAGCAAATAGATTCACCCATCCAAACTTTACAAATGTCTATTTGGCGAACAATGGTATATAGCCTCAACCTTAGGGCGGAAAAGCATTTTTGCCCAAGACTTCATAGCCTCATAGTCGGTCCTTATCAGTTTAGCTTGTAGACATAAGAATGGATGAATTTAGACAGTTTGCGTCGGTATAAAATGCGACCCTCTTGGGCAAAAATAAGCAAACACTCGGAATATGGATGTTGCATCTACTCAATTGACAAATTTTGGAAAGATTTCAATTTTTGACGGTAGAAGCCTGCCTAACTAATTTCTGAATTACCTTTAGCCCGTTTTTCAGTCTTCCTTACGTGATACTGAACTATTTTGCTGTTTGCGATCGCCATCTTGGCTCGATTCTGATTCCGACCACTCATGGACGATCTCTCAACCAAATAACAACTGTTCTGCGAATGCGAAGAAAATTTGGGTTTCGAGGTATCTCTTGTTTCATAATTGTTGAGCTTACTTCCATTTCGAGTGAAAATGTTGGCTGAAGAGATTCGAAGGTCGGTTCCACCAGCAGACGATGGCGGATTCCTCTTGACCAACTTTCGATTAGCTTTAATAGAAGATTCATGCTGACGCTGTCTCCGAGGCAATCTCCTTCGATTTTGGCGAATGTCGACCCACTTGGACAGTAAGAGTCATCCCGAATCGGAATGTTTTCTGTCTTTAAGACATATTTTCCACCAGTCAGGTCGCAACCTGCAACCAATAAAGTACAAAGTATCCATGCCACAGACTCATGTAGAAAAATTGTTTCTTAAAATGGTGTGGATAAGCAATTAATTATATGGATATGCATGTATATAAATATAAATATATTTATAATCACATGATAAATGGCTTTCCATTCAATTTTAAGAAATAAATATAGGGGTTATCAAATTGCGTGGATAACCGTTAAAACATGCGGAAATTCAAAGCCGACATATATATATATATACAAAGTAAATGGTCTATCTATATATATATAATAAATAGTGTGGATAACCCCTTAGGCATGCCGGGATTCTCCACTAATAAGGATAGGAAAATGACCGTCAAAAGCAAAAACATCAATTTAAAGACGAATTAGCAACTCTTTATTTGTGCGACAAAGTCATGAGTTAGCCTAATTACTTTTGTGCAAGTGAAAATGCCAACAAAACAGTAATTTATACATCGACTTTCATCAAATGGACATGGATATCCAATTCAGAAAATAGGTTCACTCACTTGCAAAAATGAGTGGAGGACTCTTTAAAATCTTACTTGCCTTTTCGTAAAGTTTTTAAATGTTGACCCGTGGTTATTTAGATTGAATGGCATAGTTCATATTTCAGTCAATCGTTAATGACTATTATCAATGGATGCAAATCATTTCGAGATGCATAACGCAGAAAATTTCACAGCAGAATTCTTAATTTCCCTTCCGGCAGTCCACGAAAACTATTCGAAACCCGTACACACAAACACTCAAAGTGGTTTTGGCATAGACACGCATGCTAAAAACCTGCGGAACCTGGCACTTATGTCAAATATTATACTTTTAAAAAGTAATATCTGCAAGTAGTATTACATGGACTTTTCCTAAATGATGGTACAGATATGACAAATTCCTGGGCAGTGACAAAATATACTCAAATTTTGCAGAGATTATTTTTTTCTCCTTTGCCATTCTCATTTCCACTTGCGGCAAACTAAGTTGGAATCCTCTCCCTTTCTCCTACCCATGTCTCCTCGTCTCGGTACCGTCGGATCAGGTTCGTCTAGTCTGGCTGTATCAACTGATGGGGCTTTTTTTGGCCCCTCCGGTGCCCTCAATCTGTCTGATGGTCACTTGGGGTCGTTTGACTGGGCCGGCCATGACCCTCGGCCTGCTGGGTGGCGTTGCCGGGGGCCTGAGCTCGTGGCTCGTCTACACGGCCTATTTCGATACCGGATACAAGAATTTCTTCGATAACTCAGGTCGACCGACTGTGCTGTTGCGACACTCATAATTGTCCGTGTTTTGCCCTAATCTGAAGCTCATGTCATGTCTGCTTCTTTATGCCTTCATATCCTTCATCCAGCAAATTTATTCTCTTGACTTTCAGGCACACAATCAAAATTGTCTCTCTCTTTCTCATTTGCCGTTTGACGACAGCTTCATTACAATTAGTCTCTGAGGCACAGCCATTTTTATATATCTTCCTCATTCTCCTCATTTTTTACGTGCCCATTCACTTCCTTCAACTCTTAACTATTCAGTCACTTTTTATTTTGTTTCACTTTCTTCATTATTTCGATCACTTCTTAATCTTTTCTGATGTCAACTTTTTGGGCCTCATTTTCACTATAGAGCTCTTTCGCGCAACACCTTTTACGTTTAACTTTATTGTGATTAAACTCCTATTCACTATTTCCTATCTAAATCGGCTCTATTTGTTCAATATGTCTTTAAATATATCCTTTATATATTAATTATATATACCATTTGCAAGTTAAAATTGAGTTTCAATATTTTGTTCAACCTAAT